GCGGTAATATCGAGAAGCAACGGACCAGCAAAAATGTAATAGAATGTTCACGAAGATCTCATTCTGAAGATTACGATGTGAAAAACATTTCTTTGAAGTGTTTGGACTCACAATTTTAGTACTGAATGCCCTAGTTTCGTTTATAAGTTATTTAACGATGTAGATTCCAAAAAATCCCACCAAATGTGTTACAGGTTGCATTTGACATTAATATTTTGTTTTGTTCTACGACGCCTTTTTTCGGTATTTCTTTATTTTGCTATTCGAGTGGAGATGGATCCAACAAATCAGAGATAATTAAAATTGGTCCTGCCGTTCTTGACTTGTAACTAACCTGACTTTACTTTGTTATATATATATATATATATATATATATATATATATATATATACACATATATATACATATATATATATATATAGAGAGAGAGAGGGGGGGGAGAGAGTGAGTGAGTGAGAGAGATGGTATTATCAGTGGCTAATCCAAGGGGAAGGCTTAGGGGGCCACACCTACCCACACACACATCAATCTGGCAATTTTTCTCTATTCTCCCCATGCTTACAATCTTGTATTTTTCTCCATTTATTCCGAATAATTAGCATGGAAGTCTCATTTCTTTCAATGAGCTATTCCCATTATCAATTTCCTTTTTCTTTTTTATTTCCAGGAAAACAATAAAAAACTATTATTTTAAAAACATGTATAAGGGGTCCAAACTTACTCCCCCCTGAAATACTTTCTGGATCCGCTCCTGAGTATTATAGCGTATATAATATGATATCATCATTGATTTATCAGAGACACAACGTCGCTGATGGGGAAAAGTGACCATTGTGAGAGCTATCGGAATCAGGAACTGGCAGCGCTGCACAACCCACATCCGTCGCTAGCTTTTTCCATAAAGAATCGCGAGAAAGTTCCAGCGAACTACTTCGTCGCCGCCGCCGCCGAGCAGCAAGAAACCTTCTGCAGACGCTCCCCGCATCAGTACCCGCCAAAGCAGAGACACTTAGCTCGATACAGTTGTTTGCTAATGGTGAACTGAAAATGGTCTACGCGTGAGAGACAGGCAGAGGAACGGACGCCAGATACTCCATTACTGTATAACGATTTATTGACTCAGATCTAGCCTAGACGTGTACTACTTTTTTCAATTCAAGTAAAACAAAGAAACGCGGTGAGAAATGCAAAATAGGAGTGCAAAGTGCTTAGAGAGAGAAATTGAACTTAAATTAAAATGATTTTGAATCCCATTAAACACCATAATTGACCGAATGTGATTATTATATATAACTGTACTGCATTTTTTATATCTTTATCACGATTTCATCGATTCCGTAAGGGGCTATCCATAAATTACTAACGCTAAAGAGTGGGGGAGGAGATTTGAGGCAGAATTACGCTGCGTTACATAGGGGTCGGGGGTGTTAGTTTAGTGTTACGTAACATTTACTTTTAGTTGTTTTTACATTTTCAAAATTTGCTGAAATTATTCCACATTTTACTCTTATACTAAAATATTAAAATATTAGCTAATTAATTCGTTTTAAATACATAAATATATTAAATGTTATAGATGTAAATTGTTAAAATGAATTATATTTTTCATAAATTGTTTATGGAATCTATAAGATTTAATAAATGAAACAAATATTCAAAACCGATATGTAATGTATTACAAAAATCTATTTAAATTGGCGTAATAGCCTCTCGCCCATCCGTCATCCACGACGGTGGCGGCGTGTGCACGGCTTGTGATAAAAACTTGTCTCGCCCCTGTGCCCTTCCTTCACTCACATCTTTCCTCCAATCTTATTGTTGGATGCAGTCAACATGGCTAACTAATTACGACTTTAATTATCATAAATTTAAATATACAATGCAACCCAGTCTCTAGCTAGGGCCTTGCTTTGCAAGTCGATTTTTTGCCCAGTGAAAACCATCTAAACTGACCGGTTTTGGACCCTCAACTTGCGTTCATAGGAACGGCGTGAGAGTCACTACTCCATAATTGATTGATTGTTTGGCTGATTACTAGTGATTCCGGGCGCGTCGAATGGTAAGGCCATTAGTCCCGTAAGAGTAGTGTATTTTTGCTCGGGAGGTGGCGGTCTTGCCCCGCTGGATGGCGAGAACCGACGCCGACTTACCGTCCGGTTAGCGGGGTTTTCCCAACCAGATATCTCCCACCAGTAGGGCACCGCCCCAGCCACGACAAGCTCTAAGCTCCCAACATGTGTGGTGTGCATTGCATGTAAGTGAAAGTATGTGTATAGATGGTAGATAGGACAAGGAATGGGAAGGAAAGATCGCGCGCGGTCGGTGGCTCATTTTTAGGGTACTGCTCCGCCATTCGCCTGGTATTGATAAAAAACCGCGGAAAACTACGGTTCAGAGCAGCTGGACGCAATAATTCTCCTTCTGACAGAACTCGATCTAGCTATCTGGCTAGTGTGGAAAATGCTGCCACCGTCGGGAGTGGAACCCAAGGACCTCCCAGTCAGAGGCATTGCAATGACATGTTGATGCCCTGAACCACCTCTCCCGTCGCCAGACGCGACATTAAATTCGTAAGAACCTTCATTTTAGGAGTGTCACCAGCCTGCCCTCGGGCATGCGCCCAACAGAGAGCGCTCCCTCGAGGCCAACGTGCATAGCTGCACGCGTGGGCGGGGAAATCAGCGACCGCGACGCGACGCGACACGACGCGATGCATTCAGGGACGTGCGGGCGGGCGCGCAGCCACGAGTAAAATCGGCGAATGTCCAGAACTACTCGAAATTTGGGAGGACTAACTGTAGGTAGTCGCAAAACGGTCACCAACTTAACCGCATTGACAGAAGATTTACGATCGGGAGATGAGGCTCAGAGCATGAACTGTAGTGCATCTGACCGGAAGGTCCTAGGTTCGAATCCCACGGTGACAGGGTTTGCGACTCTAGCCAGATAACTAAGTCGCGTTGTCTGGAGGTGAATTCTAGCGACCGGCTGCTCTGATCGGTAGTTTTCCATGGTTCAACGATCAATATCAAGCGAATATCGGAGCAGTACCCCCACCAAACAGGCCACGGACCGCGAGCGATCTTTCCTTTCCCTTCTTTGTCCTATTGCACTTACACTTACATGCACTACACTAATGCACATGTCGGGAGACCGGTCGGGAGCTTAGAGCTTGTCTCTGCTGGAGCGGTGCTCGGCAGGAGGGAGATACCTGGTTGAGGAAGACATCGCCAGGTGACGGTAGGTCAGCGCCGGATATCACCATCCAGCGAGGGAAGATCACTGCCGCCTCCCAAACAAAGAACATGGACTACACTTATGGGGCTAATGAGCGTATCCGTTGACGCGTCCGGAATCATCAATCAATCAGAACCGTTACCGCAGTAGTCGCAGAACGGTTACCAAATTTGTATCATCAGAAAAATATTACTATCATCCACCCCATTCACCTTTCTCATTTCTTATAGGATTCACATAGGATCAAATAGGATCCCACACTTTACTTAAAGTTTTTGACGCCCATGGTCAAATACGTGCAAAATGAAAGAGAGAATGAAAACAGAGCATTTGTTACCTTCCATTTATTTCTGTGAATATTTTCTTTCTTCGATTGATTGATTGATTGATTACAAATGATTGCGGGCGCGACAACGGCTAAGGTCATTATTCCCGTAAGCGTAGTGTGTGTTTTGCTCGCGATGTGGCTGACTTTTCCCTGCTAGATGGTGAAATCCGGCGCCGACGTACACGTTGGTTCGCAGCCTTTCCCTCAACCAGGTATCTCCCACCAGAGGGCACCGCTTCAACCGCGACAAGCTCTAAGCTCCCGACAGGTCACTCGGCATGAGCGGTGGTGTAGTGTCTGTCAGTGTAAGCGTGTGTAAATTCCTTGGAGCTTGCCCCAGGCAGAGAATGACTGAAAAGCAGGCCCTGTCTTATATTTGAATCGAGTGAAAAGAAGCGGCCACTGATGTTTCGCAGAGCTCACTCTGCTTGTACGTCCGTTACAGAAAAGGTGAAAGGGGAAAGAGAGATGGTATGCCAAGTTATAAAACGTTCAGGATGATTCATAACCGAAGTATGGAAATATCAAAAGGATGGACTTTAATTGGTAGCAAAATGGTACTAATGATACCAAATAAAGACAAAGTTACATAAAGGCTGGCGATTGGATTTCTACCAAGTAATCTCATTGACGCTTCCAGCAACAATAAAACGCAAGAAACAAATAAATTGAACATTCTGACTGACCTTCCTAGAAAGTTTAACCTCTGGGTATTATAGGGAAGAAATTATAAGTTAAGGCCAAGAGAAGAAAACAGTCTTAAATAACTGTCAGACCTACGAGAGATAGTGAAATAGTTCATAAGATTTGCACTCCACATTAGAACGTACATCAAACCACAAATAATAGTAAACATATTAAGAGTACAATCTCTTAGGTGATTTGTTTTGTGAAGCCGAGAAAACTTCACTTGGATTACTGTGTCACAAGATCTTGCTCTTAATACTGAACGCACAAAATATTGCCAAAGCATATCTGTTGTTCATAGTTATTTGAAGAAGTGATTTGACCGTTTCAGTGAACCCTTGTGATGTGAGGTACATACATCACACGGACAAAATTTGTGAATGTTTTGCAGATAAAGATTGTCTACCGCGTTGCGTTGTACACTAATAAACGAGGACTAACAGGCTTTTTGAAAAGATTCTACTACATAATTCACTGGATAAAACAAACATTCAAATAAAGAACAATGAGATCACAAATGAAGTCGAAACGTCATTAAAATATGTACTTTTAAAACTTGACTGGAATCATCGTTCTTTATTTGAATATTGTATTACACTAGTGATCTGCAGCCACAAAACGTTGATCAGTAACACATTAAAAAGCCAATAAAACATATTATTTCCGGAGGCGCTATAGCTCCGTTGAAATCTCGACCTACAATTCAGTTCGCTAACAGCACGTGTGTTCTTCTTGTCCCGGCCGGCAGGAATCGGTATCGACGACACGTTCGTGATGCTGGCGGCGTGGCGCCGCACCTCCATGAAGCTGCCGGTGCCCGAGCGGATGGCGGTGATGCTGTCGGAGGCGGCCGTCTCCATCACCATCACCTCCGTCACCGACATGATCAGCTTCTGGATCGGCATCATCAGCCCCTTCCCGTCGGTGCGCATCTTCTGCATCTACTCCGGTGAGTTCCCACACAGCTCGTCTTTGACGCACGATATGTAGCCATGCGCCTCCCGTTAGGAAGACTTCTGGATGGTTTGTATTCGTGGAAGGAGAAAATTTGGATGTTAAGAGGCACTTGATACCAATAGCGGGTCATGGCTTTGGGACAGGAGAGGAAAAGAGTTTTCCTCTCACATTACTTCCACAGTATGTATGACCATGTATGATTGTTTTCACAATATAAATTTACCGATAATTTTGGTGATTTTTCATATTCATTTTACTTTCGAGTTTAAAAATAATTTCTGGATTTTTATGAAACACAAGATTTACCAAACTGACAAATTTTAAATCTAGTAAAATATCTTGATAACAATGATGGTCACGGACGTTTTATTGTGAATAAAATAGTATATTACATTCAGTGACTGCTTTTTTTTCTAGTAACATTGTAAACATTTTGTGATTCATTTGGACTGTAAAAAGTTTACTAAAATGAGTGTGCCTTGTCTACAGGAATCGCAGTAATGTTTACTTACATATGGCACGTGACTTTCTTCGCCGGCTGCATGGCAGTGGCCGGATACACAGAACATAAGAACCTTCACTCCCTCGTTTGCATCAAAGTGCTTCCAGTTTCACAATGTGGTAAGTAGAAACATTGAGTCGGGCATTGCCTTGTTATTGGAAACTTTGTTGATTAACAATCCTTGTGTGGTCAGTGGTACAGCAGGTTTGGTGGCGAAATCCTCGAGCGAATTCCAAGAATGAACATTTATCTGTAGGATTTTTTTAGGGCAGAGAAAATTAATAGTTTTCGGCAAAAGATAAATAAATCACGTGATTTTTGACAGGTTTGCTTGCTTTACAGACTTAAAAACTTATTTTTGGACAGATAGGGTCATCACGTCTTTAAATCGACTTCCTTACTCTTTTCTACTTCTCCCCTCCCCATTCCAGTAACAGATATGACGACCAGTATTCTCATCGTATCTGTATCAGATATAGCGCATCAAATAAAGGTGAACCCTTTTTTTCAATAAAATACCCAAATCAATGCTTCGAAACCATTGGAGTCACCTAAATACCAGCATCACATGTGGATGAACGTATCCTTCTCTAGGACCGGAAGTTACACGAGGGAAAGTAGCTTCTTGCGTCATCTGAAAACAAATAAAAACCGAGTTCTGACTGGTCTTCTACCTCCCACTTCCCCTCTGGAGTAGAGAAAGCGATGTAAACGACTGATGAAGGACGAAGGAATGAGACGTATCGTTGTTGCTAAATAGAGCTCTAAAAATAAATGCGGTTGGTGAATCGTTCCTCGGACCATTTTTTTCAGTTCGACAGGGGTGAATGCCGTAATCGACCTCGTGTGCTCAACCAAACGCACTTGCTTGGCAGGAAGCGGAGCGACTTCACCGCTTTGAACAGGAAGTTGTTACGTAACCCTAGAAGCAGGCTCCTCTCTTTGGTACCGAACAAGCTTTCCAAGGCGAATTAGAGGAATTTGTTCTTCAAACGAGAGTTATGAACTTTCCCAAAGGTCATACTGGATTCGGTACTTTAACATTCAGCGAGTTGATGAATCTGTTGTAGAATATTAACACAAAAACTTGATGCAGAGCTACCTGAATTAAATAATATAAAGGATTTAATAATATATGCTTATCTTTTATCTTTTTATATGAATGTACAAAATAGTCTAAATTATAAGTAGTTTTTGGAAGGAAAAGTAACTTTTAATAAGTAAAAGTTGAAACTTTCATTTTAATATCCGAGCACTACATATTATTATTCACACTATTTGCATTGATTTGATTTTATTTATTTATGCCCCCCTTACAAAAAATGGAATAACATATACTCTAATGCATTATAATATGGAATTCAACGATGGTATCATCAAATTCTGAAAAGGATAAAACATTTCAAAATCGAAAATTTATTGTTTTTCGTAGTTTGAACACGAGAAATCCCAACAAATTCTCGAAATTCTAATTCTATATTTTTATACATTTCACTTTTATCTTCTCCGTGCTTTTAGACGTTTTACCTATTACTTCAATACGTACCTTTCTCTACTTAACATTCCATAAGTTATTGCTACCATTAAAAAGATGAAGGATGCATTATCAGATTTAATACCTGTGAAAGCTTATCTGTAATTTTACTTCTCTTTGGCACTTGGCAAGTTTCCTTCTTATTCAAAGTTTTGTAATTTTTTTGATAGAAATACTATGTACAAATGAAGTTGAAAGGTTCGTGAACCTATTAGAATTCAGGTTTGGATTAAAAAAAATTGAAATTATTCACACTTAAAAGTGCTTAAAACATGTACATGTTTCACTTGTATCCAAACATGTTTCAAATAAGCAAGAGTATATGCAAGAGCCGCATAGGCCAACTTCTGCGGGGGCAAACTATGCAGAAGGCATACAATTTAATCCTGGAACTCCAACCTAGAACAAAATTAAGCCATCGGAAAAATCATATACACTGATCAAACAGAACAAGGAAAACAATGTCGTTTTTTTATATTAATGGAAACACAATGTTGTACGCTACATTTGTTTCACATCACATCTGAGTTCATTCTATACTTTCTATACAGACAGGCTGAGGTAGCACAACCGGTCTACACACTAGAAACGGCTCTGGCAGGTACTGCAATGATTCTAACCTGAAAGGGCTAGGTTTTGAATCCCGAAGGTGGCGGATTTTCGACACTGGCTATATTTGTAGCCAGAATGAATTCAGCTGCTGTCTGGGGAGAATTCTAGAGGTCACCTCATTAGATCGATAGTTTTTGTTTTGTGGTTTCTGCAGTAGCAAGCTTATGTTCGAGCAGACCAGATCACGCGATTTTTTCCTTCCTCTTTCTAGTACTTTCTTCCCCTTACACACGTACGTGCGCATATACACACACACACACACACACACACAAGGTACATGCACTACACTACCCCACACATCGGAGCACCAAATCGGGAGACTAGAGCAAGCCTTGTCTGGAAAGGTGCCTCGCTGGCGGAAGTACCTGGAAGGGGGAAACCCCCAGCAAACCAACGTTTAAGTTGGCGCGGATCTCACGCTCTTCCGCAATGAATCATGCCCTTCACTTGTGGAACTAATGACCATAACCATTAACGCTCCCGGAAACACAGAATAAACAGTTCAGAATATAGTTTTTTAAGAATAACCATACTCGTTTATATAGTAGAATATCACAAAACGATTCATGAAAGAAGGCCTACGTCGACTGCATTGGCCTCATGTACACGTAAGCTCACGCGGCTCGAGTTCGTGACGTCCGGGTGACAAAGCGTCGTTGGCTAGGAGGACGACGTCTCGCCTGTATGTCGCAGACTTCCTCAGGGTAGTGCATTGGTCTGAGTTCCGTCTCAATAATCTTTACCCCATCTCTCGTGCCTCATGCATCGTCAGCCGTGCCTTTCTTTCTTTCTTTTCTTTCTTTAATAGCCAAAACACCTTCTCTATGTACATACGTTGAATTTTACATATTTAAGGCTTATATAAAATGATAGATATTTTCAAAAGAATGGTTACTTGCATTATGAATGGTATGGTTTGACAATATTTGAGCAGTATCGATAATAACTACTGCAAGCTCGTCTTATGCAGAATAATGTCTCAAAATTCCAATAAATAATTTATATTTTAAATTATTTATATATTATTTTAACTTTTGTATTTCCTTCAATCCTCCTTTATTTCTTACAGCGTTTAAAGAGCTCTTTCCAGGCGGCCAATTAAATCTCCTCACAGCACGCGTTCTCGTTTCTTCGCAGGCAAGAAGTCGTGGCTGTACCGCATCTTCTGCAGCGGCGGGGTGGACCCGGCGGACCCTGACAACCCGGTCGACAACCGAGAGCACGGCATCATGGTTTTCTTCCGGGACAGAGTCGCCTCTTTGCTCAACAAGTGGCAGGTGAAGGCCCTGGTCCTACTGGTGTTCGCTGCTTACCTCACCGGCGCCTGCTACGGCATCACCAAGATGAAGGAAGGGCTGGAGCGACGCAAGCTGTCTCGAGCCGACTCTTACTCCGTGGAATTTTACGACCGGGAGGACTATTACTTCCGAGAATTCCCGTACAGAATACAGGTATGTAAATTGTTTCGAAATAGTTACCACCACATCACAGCCAGGCTTAAGAGGAGTCATGAGCTACCCCCCCCCACACACACACACACACACAATTATATTGAATTAATAAATATTTTTGCAAACTTCATGTTTTTAATTCCAAGATACTGAGATTGAAAAGAAGCAGTATTCTGACAGAAAAATTCTCAACATACATTTTTATCTAAAAAAATGTTACATCTATTTAAAAATATATGTAAGCAACCCAGGTCCTTGGGGACTTTTTCCAAAGTAGGCTATGTTATTTTCCTAGAAAAGGGGCTCTTTTTAAAGCAAACATAATTGAACCACTATTCCTTCACAAAGAATTCCTTTGTTCACAAAACATTTCATAAGAAACTTAAATAGTTGGTAAAAATGATTGTTTTTGTTATTCAAATGCACTTTCACATGTTCGCATATTAAAGATTATTGTCAGTTTGTTTTGATGCTCAGTTTCACATGATGTAGCATTTTAATAACATTTTTAACCATTACTATTTTTAATGGCAATAAATTTGACAATGCTCCATTTCTAATAACAGAATGTCCACTTCCCCATTTCACTTTTTTTTTCAAATGCAGGCTGTAATGTTTCTGATAGAAAATATACAGATACCATTTTTTTTTTTTTTTACTACAAGAATTTTTATTGGTACTTACTTTTAATCAGTAATTAAAATTTTGAAAAATATAATGTATTTTCCTGCAATCATTTAGACTTCAATGATGGAATTCATTAATAATGTTTCAATGATGGTGTTTTCAGTTTTGTAATAAATTACTGTGAGAGCTGATATTTGGAATACGAGTTCAAAGGGCACTTAAATTTAGTAGGTAGTACTCCAAGAATAATGTGCAATTTTAATGTTTAACAATTTCTTTCTTCCTAGGTTGTCATCACTGGTGACTTGAATTATTCTGATCCAATAGTCCAAGACCAAATCGAGAACCTGACACAAACATTTGAAAATACAACATATATATCTTCACCACTTTACACTGAATCATGGCTACGTTCTTTTGTGGGATATGTGAAGAGAAATCAAGATTACTTAAATGTCAGTATTGCCACGGAAGATGAATTTATCCAGACTTTGAAAGAGGTAAGATTTTTAACATTCATAAAAAGAAAAATTCTTAAACTATCACTATTACATCAGATATACTTTTCAAGAATATCACACACTCTTATTTCAAATCAATGTAATTTTCTTTTCAGTTGTGGCTATTCAAGCCAAATCCTTTCTCTTTGGATGTAAAGTTTAATGAAGATGGAACAAGAATCATAGCATCAAGATTTTTAATTCAAGCTGTTAATATCACAGATTCAAATGATGAGAAAGCAATGGTTCGTGTATTACGGAAGATATGTCAAGATTCTCCCCTTAATGCCAGTGTGTTTCATCCATATTTTGTATTTTTTGATCAGGTTAGTATTATAATCAATGCTTCTAATGAATCATTATCAAAATTTCAACTTCAATAATATAATGTTTCCTTTTTTAGTTTGAATTGGTCCGACCTACCTCTATCCAAAGCATGATTATTGGTGCTTTAATTATGATGCTGGTGTGCTTCATATTTATTCCTAATGCCTTCTGCTCCTTGTGGGTGGCATTTTCCATCATTTCCATTGAAGCTGGTGTAGCAGGTTACATGGCTCTGTGGGATGTACGTCTCGATTCTATATCAATGATCAACCTCATCATGTGCATTGGATTTTCTGTGGATTTTACAGCACATATATGCTATGCCTACATGTCCTCCAAAGCCAAACATCCTGATGAAAGAGTTCGAGAATGTCTTTATGCACTTGGTCTTCCAATCATCCAAGGTGCTTCTAGCACAATTCTGGCTGTGCTTACACTTGTGTTTGCAGAAAGTTACATATTCTTAGTGTTCTTCAAAATGGTGTTCCTCGTGATCTTTTTTGGGGCAATGCATGGCCTCCTTCTCCTTCCTGTACTCCTTTCTATCTTTGGTCCAGGCTCCTGTGCATCATTTTCAAGACCCAAGAAAGAAGAGGCAGATGAAACCAAAGCTTCAGCTGTGGAAAAAACTTTCCCTCACCCATTTTGTATTCCTCATCCATCACTCCATCCTATGAACCATCTTAATAATGGTTATCTGTTCAGAAACACAAATGGAGACCTTAAAACACATGCTCTTTCAAATGGTACCGGTCCCTATATAAATGGATTTGATGGAAAATTTAAGACTTCTGGAACACATTTTGGTGGACCCCTTACAGGCCTTCCACAACACTCCTATAATGGAGGAGTGAAATACGCTGATGGAAATGGATCAATGATCCTTGAAAAAGACTTAGGTATTGGAACATCTGGTGAAGATTCCAGTGAATCCAGTTCCAGCCAATCACAACGTCGACTGCAGAAAGAGGCTGATGAAGATCAACGACGTCGATATGAAGACGGATGGAGGAAGTCAAGCTCAAATATAGCACCAACAGAAAATAATACAAAACCAAGAGAATTCCAACCTCCGCATATTATGGAGGTTTATAACAACTCAGGGTACATTAGTGATGAAGATGGAAGAGGTCGCAGCAGGGCATGGTACAGAAACAGCCATGCCCAGCCTGTCCGACACTACGATGACACTCACCTCTCAAGAAGGTATTCAATGCATGAAACACAAAGTCATGGACGACCGCGTTCTAAGTCGCAACATAATTCAAACTTTCACTGTCACTCCCGAAGTTCTCCAGGTTATGTGGGTGACACAAAATTTCGCTGAGTGGTGAGTTTGTTGCGTAGACTGTATTGTTTTGAGGACATCTGTGCAAACATGTATGAAAGATGGAACTATTTTTATCATTGAGTGAGAACATTCGTCTTTGATATGAGAACACTCTATTGCCTTACTATAACACAGCAATGTTGATTTTATATCTAAGTAATGGATAAAATATATTTTGGTACTGTAATATACAGATAGATTTTCAATGCAAGAATTATTTTTTACTATACCCTTTTATTCGATTGTAAGCATAACATAAAGAAGATTTTATGGTCTTTCTTGGAAATGTAGTGATGATATCACTTAAAGAGTGTCTCAAGAGTGTTATTAGTCATGAAATAAAAAGACAATAATATTTCATTACTTCAGCACTCCAGAATCAAGTGTGCAAGTACATGTTACTTGAGTCTTTCAAAGTGGTGATTATAGCTTGCCAGTATAATACGAATACTTGGAATGTGTGAGTCATAGCTAGAATAGTGATGTCTCAAATAATTAAGTTTCAAATCGATATATTTGAAACAAAATGTGTTAAATGTTAAGCATCATGCAATGTTTCTATCCGGTCACTCTGAAACAAACTGAAGTTTGATGCTCTGCTCATTTTCCTTGTGGAAATAAATGTAAGTGACTTTCTATTGTGATATATGAGAACTGTAAATTATATTATTATATATTATGAAACTGACAAATGGTGAAATGACATTGGACATTTGGCACTTACTTTCTTTTATATATTTCGTGTCTACCTCTTGCGGGTATCAACCAAACTCATGTACAGTAATAACACTGTAAATAGTATATGTTTTATAAATAGTTTGTGTAAAGTGCAATTCGGAATAAAATTATTATGTGTAAAATTTTAAAATATGAAATAAAATGTGATAACTTCTATTTCAAAAGATAAAGGGCATTAATCTTTTACCCTACCATTTCAGTGAATCAGTACGAGATATAAATATAAAAATGCATAATAATCTTACAAAAGATATCACTTACAATCAGTGTTGGAGAGTAATTAAGTAAAAGTAATTAATTACTTGTATCGCTTATATTGCTATTTTAGTAGGCAATCGTTACTCTTAGCACAATGTAAATTTTACTCATAATTTATTCTTTGATATCAAATTGTAATCATTACTTTGTAGTAATCGCAACATCACACATAATCATGAATATTTTTTTTGATACGTTTATTTAGTTATTTTCGCTCTCAAACTACCTGGCACATCCCTAACTAAATGAGTGGGTAAGTTGATTAATTTAAAACTAGACTCAATGAGAGGGCTCCATTCACAGATTAGTAGAATTTTCATGACACAATCCACACTCAGCTTCTAGCCCAGCGGGAGGAATGAAGATTAGTTTGTTTGAACTAGTTCTTTCATGAACGGCACATCTCTACCTGAACTTGTAATTTTACTAATTACATGCTGAAAATGTAATTTGTAGTTGTAACTGAGTGTAATATTTGACAAGTACAGGTAGGTAGTTTAATCGAGACCAATTCCTTTTTAACATTCTTCTCCCATTATTGCTTATAAGCATGAGAGGAAAATTATTATGTACTCTTTCACACTCAAAAGAGTGAACAATGGAAAGTTAAAATTTATTGTTGTTAACATAATATAAAGTTACCATTTTTTTAAAAAATTTCCTCCCGAAAGGTAGAAAGAAATGTAAGTTAATACTGTGATATATAATTCTGTATTTCTCCCAAAGATTACGAGCCTCCATGGACTCATAAAGAAATGGCTCAACAATGAAATTGGTGGCTCAGACTCTCAGGGATTTAAATGAACAATATTTTACATTTATGTACTAGTTGTCATTACCAGACTTTTTCTTATGAGAATAATTAAAAATTAACACCTACTAAGATTCAAAATTAATCACCAGAACTTAAATTATAACGCTTTTCATACTTTTAAACGTTCATCTCAATTAATGTAGTAATAATCACCATATGTAAAAATTAAATAATTTATTGTATTTCATGAACTCCAGAAATATTACCAATTGTAATTGAGGAACTCTTACTTTTTTTAAATTATGGCAATGATGGGTATTGGTCAATTAATTACAGAATTAGTTTGCTGATGTTTTGTTTACCAAGCAGTGGTACACAATATTATAATGCTTATCAAAGGCAACTACAGTAATGTAGGTCTTCATGATTGGTATTAGGGAAAATTATTTTTACTCACAGGGCTTCGTTTCATTTTTCATTTATAATAACTTACATACTTGGATTTTATTATATCTAAAATTTGTAACATACATGTGTACTAAACCTGAGTAGTTAAGAGTGTTATTTATCTCAGCCACAGCCCTGATGAGGGACAATAAAGTTCAAAAACATTGGAAAACTAATATACTAATTAATTGACCAATACCCATGGGCAATTCCAATAATCATTTATTATAACATTCTAAATGAGGAATTATTTAAAAAGTCCAATATTTATAGTTCAAACTCCACAACAATCTTAGCACCTTCTTTCAAATATTTTCCTTTAAAATTTGTGTTGAAAACGGTTTTCTGAAACCATCTTGTAAAATATTATGATTGCTAAATGGAGAAACGAACAACCTTTATTAAAATATTACATGTTTGACAATCAAAGTAACATGTTACGGAGACATGTTCATTCACATCAGTATGGTTGATAATGATCAGATAGTGATCATCACTGAAATAAAATCGTGAAACAGATGTCGTGACAATTTATTAACCAAGACGTTGCGAATAATCTGCGGTTCTTACGTTGTTGGCAAGAACACAGCCGCACTCGGGACAGACCTATTGTTTTGGTTATAAAATAGACTCCAGATAACTAAATATATTAAATTACACCGACCTCTCTCCAAACACTGTCAACAATGATGGGTGGGATGAACCAGCAGTGAAAGATCTATAGCACTGAACTCATATAAAAATATGGATGAAAAGATGTTCTATGGTACCGCGTCGGGATCCATGATGTCATGTTTCCGCACAGAAGGCGTCTGAAATCTTTGTCAAAAATAGGTCTACACACTTTTCCCCACATTTCATAAAAATTTAGAAATATATTTTCACATTTCATTTCGTGGATCTTCAAATTTATATTATAAAAGATTAACTTTTTTTTATAAATTTTGTGAAAAAATAATCCCTATATAGTATTTGATTAACTGTTCGTGTGCGTGAGTGCATGTGTGCGGATCTGTCACTCACAGTAAGACCACTTCCCGTGCACCAATCGAAACGTATGAGGGTTGGTTATTCGACGCGTCTCTGTCTCCTGGTGGGGACCTGATAATTTCTTTTCAGATCCGGCCAGAAGATTCTTTTTTTTTTTGGGGGGGGGGGGGTTTTAACGCTGCTATCTTAGTGAGTATGCCAGGAATTAAACCAACGCCTCCCAAAATAGATCTATGTAGTATGTTTCGTTGAATGTGACAAGTGAATAGCCGGGCGGCAATTTCATTTAATTTGCATTCGTATAAACGTATTTTTATTTAAATAGTATTGCCTTGGAATTTATTGAACTTGCAGAACTTCAGATTAATACGGAGAAAACCCAACTGTGAATAACACTACAGAAGCACATTTACGTTCTTACGTTCGATTTCTTACATATACATTTAAAGAGTGCAAATTCCGATTTTCAAATGAATGTGAGTAACAACTTATTCTTATTAAAACGTAACTAATATCTTATTCACATGAACATACAAAACAGTCGCCTTTTAATGCTTATATAGATTCGTCTACAAAGCGATAAATAGAACAATTGCGAAAGTACAAGTGAACACGATTAGACTGACTTTGTGGAGTTTTGACCTCTTGAAAAATTAGAAGACCACAATATGGAGGTGTTTGTAGTTGTAGAAGATTTTGCGACAGATGTTTCGGAACCATTTGAGAATATTCTTATTAGAAAATAACGCTGAAGACCAGCTTATGGATGATTTTTTATTTTGCATAATAGCAAAAAAAGGGGTTTAACTAAATTCTAACCATTTCATTCGTATCTGCAATTATTTTAACGGCGTTTATAATTTTGAAATTGCAATATTACCAATTCATATCCCCTATGGAGGTAACATACAAGGTCATTAGGGGTTGGAAATTTTTGAATAGGAGTAAAACATTACTAGCTGCTACGATTCATTGTAGAATGTTAGAAACTGTAAGAACGTATTTGAACAAAACTATGAATGGCAACAATTTTCAACAATGAAAATACTTTTAAAAACAGTATACAGCGTCAACGACGCCAACAGCGTTGCCAGACGATTAAATTAATATCCCGGTTCCAGCCTTCAAAAATCACGAATCTTTCACTAAAAATCCTGGTATCGTTGCCAACTGATTTCAATTCTGAAATTGTTCATATTGTAACAAATATGTTTTTAACGTGCAAAGGACGTTTGTTAAGCTTACGTCGATATCGATTTATTTTATATCGATAAAATACATTATTGTAGAATTCACGACCATTGATGAATTAAGGGATGTAGTTGACGGGATTGGTCAGCAACGATGAAGTTGAGACTTTCGTCTGGTGGCGTTGAGGGGCGATCTGATTGGTGTTCATCGGCCCCCTCCTCCTCCCGACCTTCCTTGAACACTTCATGACACCTCTTGCACTATGAATATGCCATGCAGTCGTCTTCGAAAGCCTTCTGAAGCAACTCAAATGTATCCGACGACATCTTCTCACGTTTGAAACAAAACTATATCGCGTAACGGTGCTCGAATGTTTTCCATCTTCATTTCGACAGAGCACACAAGGGTTCTTTCAAACAGGCAATGGGACACTCCGATTGGCGCAGATCGCGCTGTGTTCTCTAAGACTCCCCCCCCCATCCATCCATCAGTGTAAGCGGCAACGCTGTGGGACAGATAGTCGCGGCAGAAAACAATAAGGCGCATTACTTTCGGAACAATCTTGTAGAATTGTAAAAATTGTTTTTATTTTTTTAACTACAGTTCAGCTATTGAAAAATCACGTTTTGTGTTTTAAGAAGTTTTGAGATTTTTCAAGCCTGTATCTGGCTTGAAAAAAATATTTTTGAATTTGGTGCTGAGAAAATATCAAAAAGTTTTTCTGACAGAATAAATTATTTTGTTACATTGTATTTCATTTCATTTTTTCAATAAGATAAGATGGTTTCAGTTGAAAAAAAAATTTAAAAAAAACAAAAACAAACGCGTCTGGCTGTAGATGGGGTGTGAGTGGTGGGACGGGGGTTACGAAATCTTTCAAAAATATTACGTTTATGTTAGAATTATACTGTAACTACATATGCCATTTGGTTTAGGAGAACCTTTTACCATCTTATGCGGGGGTAACCTTTGCCCCTCT